GGGAGGGTGAATTGTTGATTAGTTAAAATTTAGTCGACTAACAAAAGTATTAGTTGACTGACCACAACTCAGAATGAAAGTAAGTAGTGAATAACACACAACGATTTATACTGGTTCGGTACCATTGTGGTACTTACATCCAGTTTTTCTTAGGTCACAAGGGTTGCCTTAAGATATTTGAATAAGTTACAATACGGATGGTTTTATCGCATTCACCACCAACGAACAGTATCAACACTTAAGTTCAGAATAGTTGACACAACTTTCTTTTGTGTTCTAGATCTCCCTATCTTTTGAGATACTGATAACAAAGGATTACAGTGTTTGAACTAAGAAGTAGATAGACTTAGAATACAATGTGTGTAGTTGCACAATCTTCTTCTTGAGGGATCAACCTTCTTATAAGAGAGAAAAAAGCCGTTGAGTCTTTTGCGAAATCAGAGGCACAAGATCTTTAATTAAGGGATTTGGCCCAAAATAATACCTGATACAATATTGTTTCAGAATTTAAGTTTAGAGTTGTGATTGAAACTTGAAGAAGATGAGGAAGATCAGAATTGTATCACGATTGTATCATAATTGTATTTGTATTATAATTGTTGTAGAAATTGTATCACAAATGTATGATAATTGTATATGGTGATGAGCAATTGTAAGTTATGAGCTATTATCCTATTAGTAATAATTTTGCTAGAGTTTAATGATTTTTAAATTGTTGAAGAAACTTTGTAGCAACTGATTTTTTTTGTCATCGCATGACATTCTACGTCGTGTGTATAGATTTCTAACTGTAAAGAAAAAGTTTCTTTTTGGTTGCTATTATGGAAAGCAGTTTTGTGCTATTGGATTTGTTAGATTAGATATCACTTTCCTAACATTATAAGGATAATTGTAACATAGAATATTGTTATAAATATATTATATTATGGATGTTCATTTAGTACTCCGTTGTAAATAAGCTTCCTGAAGAAGCTTATCCATATGGGACTCCGCCGTAAATATGTTTATCTATTTAGTACTCTATTGAAAATAAGCCTCTTATCCATATGAGACTCCGCCGTAAATATGTTTATCTATTTATTACTCTATTGAAAATAAGTCTCCTGAAGAAGTTTATTCTTTTAGTACTCCGTTATGGATAAATATTATCCCCAGTAGAAGATTATCTGTACCTAGTACAATGAGCTTATCCTTTCAGTACTCCATTATGGATAAATATTACCTCCGGTAGAAGATTATCCATACCTGGTATAATAGCAGCTTACACAGCAGCTTGCAGTAGCAGCTTACACAGCAACTTCCTTTCTTCTATAAATAGAAGAGATTTCAGTTCATTATGTACATCAGTTTGAATTCAAATAATATATCAGTTTCTTTCTATACTTGTCTTTACTTTACAGTCTTTATTTTATAACAAATATGACATTAATCTAGTATTTGAAGGTTCCAACCAAAATCATTCAACAGCTGAAGCAAAGTTAGTAGCTTCTTGCGGAAGACGTGCAACTATTGAAGAGAGATAGAAGAGGAGATCTGCGTATTGAAAAAATTAGGAAGCATGAAATGAGGATAAGTGTAAAAAAAAGGAAAGAATATAATTGAATCCCTTAATTAAAGACATTACTAATGGGATGAGAGATTTTTAAGGGAGGAATGTATACAATTTGTAAGAAAAACCTAGATAGTTTTTGAAAATACAAAATCTAAAGAAAATAAATTAATAAGTTCCTATCATAGTAAATATATAAAAATTCTAATCAAGATTAGAGTTTATTTTGATTTGAGATTAGGAGAAAACAATTTTTCATTTAATACTTTGCATTAGTGGAGTATTAGATAAACACTTCTAGTGATATTTATCACTTATTTACTATCTCTACTTGTATATTTTGTGCATAACTTAATCGTGAAACAGACGGTCTTAGTCGGTCAACACGTGTCAAGTCTTCTTTGCCACGTTGGACCGTTCTCTGCTAAACCCTCGCAAAAAACTACATCTCTCTGTGCATGAAAAATGCTTATCAATGGCGAATTTCAGATCAATCAAAACCCTAATTTCTCGAAGCCAACAGCTCAATAAAAGCCAAATCACTTCTTTTAGAACCTTCTTTTCCCACTATTTCTCCGCATCCTCTTCGTCACCGACTATTCCATTAGCGCCGTCACTTAACGTCGATCCTTTCGTCTATCGCCGGCGCCGCCACTTCCTCTCCCATCCCAATTCCCTTTATCCGTTCTCCGCCGCCGCTAATTTTTGCCCTCTTTTCCTCTCTTCGCCTCCGTGTAAGCTTTCTCAGTCCGCAACTTCGTTACACCTTCAATCAGATTTTCTCCTCGCTTTTCCCAGAGTTAGTGCTCTTAAATTGCAATTTCCTTACAAATTAAGCTTCCAATCGACACATCCTTTGCAAAATGGGACTAATGAGAAGCAATGGAAAGATTCTCAGCTGGCTGTTGAAGTTAGGGATAGTTTCCTCAACTTGCCTAACTTAATTTCCTTGAGTAGAATGATATCCGGTCCATTTCTGGCCTGGTAAATTTCCTTGAGTACTTCTTTATTGCAGAATGCAGAACAACATCACTTTGTTGGCATTTGTATTTCATGATTCAGACAAATTGTGGGCATTTAGTTCAGTTAATTTTAGTGCTACTTATTGAATTTATTGGAATAAGAAATTTGAAAGAGAAGTGAGAAGGTAAAAGACCGCAAAATTTTTATGTACCTGGCTGTATGCCTTTGCATTTGAGTCTGTATGTATAGGAACTAGTACAAGGACAAGCAACACCAGAGTCTATCATTTTCCTTGGCTAAGATTTATGTTCGTTTATTATAAATTAGACATGATCACATGGGTTGTATTGAAACTGGTTGTGCTTGGGATTGAGGTGTAGCTGATCGAAAAATGGAGACTAATTGCGGCTGTTTAGTTTAGTCAATTTAGCATTCTATAGTGCATTGAAGGCCTTGTAATTGATTGAACCGAGTATAGGAGTGCAAATGCTTTATACACCTGGCTGTGTGCCTTTGGTTTTTCGAAAATGTTTAAGAACTAGGAGAAGAACAAGCAACACCTGAGCAATTATCTTCCTTGGTCAAGCATTATGTCTGCTTACAGTTAATTAGATATTTTGAATGCCATGGACATGATCAGCTGTTTTTTCTTGACATGATCAGTTGTGTTTTCTTGAATGTGGTTGAGTTTTTATGCCATAAGCATTGCTTATAGACTGCATTGTCAACATGCTGTAATCATTCTACAGTAAAGCTACAAACTATATATACAGTCCTTAATTTTCCATTTCTGTTTAAATATTGCAGGATGATTATACATGATATGTATCTTCCTGCATTTGTTGGGCTAGCTATTTCTGGGGCAAGTGATTGGGTGTGTATGCCCTATTCTTCTCCTTAAATAGAAGTTATGCTCTCCTTTCTAATTTAGTCTCACTCTCTGTGCCTTGTAGCTAGATGGGTACGTGGCCAGGAGGATGGGAATAAATTCTGTTGTTGGTTCTTACCTTGATCCTCTTGCAGACAAGGTGACTATTATGTTGCTTTCCTTTCTGACTTGTTGACCTAAGCGGCAAACAAAGTTCTGGTTTTGTGGTTCCTTCCTGTTCGCTTCATCATTTCTCTTATTTCATTGATGTTTCCTCCTTGTTTATCTTTTTCGTCTTCTTATGGATGAGTTGTCTCTTCCTCTGGGATTCTAGATACTTATTTGTTAGCCATCTTAAGAAAACCGTGTGTTTCTACAGGTTCTTATTGCATTTGTTGCTCTAGCAATGGTAGACACGGGTCGTCTTCATCGTAAGTTCATGTCCTATTTATATTTAGCTCCATAGATTGTAATTTGGGCTACTGTAGTGTGTCTTTTTAGTTCTCCAGCAGTCAGATATTTTTCAATTCAAAAAGGAATCGGCTGCCTGAATCCGTTGAAACTATTTTGCTTCATTCAGGCAGATTTCATTCCATTACTAAATTAGTTTTTGTGAATCTCCCGCTTATCCTTACATTGGCATAAAAGTCTCTAACCTGATCTAATGTATGTGTAACAATAAACAACTAAACCTTAATTCCTACTAGTTTGGTATCGGCTATCTGGATTCTTTGCTTCCTTTGGAGTCTCCATGGAAAAAGCTAATGTTAGTTCCTTATGCTTCGTCAATTGTCTTATCCACTGCTAATAGTTCATGTCAACGAGGAATTACCTTTGGTTCATCTATATGCAAGTCCTTTAGCTTTTTGTCTTTCCTCCTGAACTGTTTCGTTGTCTCCTTTTCCCCTACTGTTGTTGCAATCATCATCAGTGTACTGCTCTTTTAGACACTGCTTATATGGCAATAATTTTCCTGGCTTGAGGTGGTTGAACGAAGTTTGATTTAAGAGATATGTCTGTGGTCTGTTGTGCAAAGCTACTGCTCCTGGGCCCCGTTTAGCCCAAGGATGTTCTGATGAGTGCGAAAAGGTTTTAGATGAGTCGCTTGAATAGTTGTTATCTATTTTGTGGATTAACCAAATGAAAATGAAGTATTATGCTTCATTTTTCAGAAACTTACTTGCTTGGTTTTTTGCTATGAAGCTGCACTCGTTTCCATGGTTGTGCTGCGTGATGTGGCCCTTGTTGGTGGTGCAGTATATAAAAGAGCTAGCATTTTAGAGTGGAAGGTGAGGTTGGCTATTAGATTCTGTAATAGTAATCTGCAGCTATTCTTTTGCTTATATTACTTTGTTGAACATTTTTTGCAGTGGAGAAGTTGGTTTGAATTCTTCAACCTTGATGGAACCCGTCCCCAGAAAGTTGAGCCTCTTTTTATAAGCAAGGTATAACATATGATCTTTGACCCCATCGTTCAGTTAGAGCTCTTTAGGAAACATTCAGAAAAAGGAAGAACTGAGAAGAATAGGTTGTATTTTAAACAAGGCTGAATGCATACACAGCCACTTAAACATGCCCAAATTTTTCATTTAGACACTTGAACAAAGGGTTGTACCTATTGAACACCTTAACGAGAGCGAAAGTGTGTCTATTGAACACACCTTGCTGACATGGCACAGAGCGTGTCTTTCACCCAAGTTGAGCGCGTCTTATAAGAAACTGCCTTTCTTTAGCCATTTTTCTACTCATTTTCTTCTCTTTCTTCTTTCAAGTCAATGCCAGATTCAAAGCCATAAATATCTTCTTGTTCGTACTTTATCCATCCGATAAAGCACCACTCTCTCTCCGTCACTCTCTTGACCGTATTCTCGTCTCACCCATTTATCAAGATAAAACACGCTCGCATCGGAAAAGGATTCATATCACAGCCACGAAAAATATGGTATCTGATTCATTCTCTCTCAAGAAAAAGTTTGCACTCCGCACTTTTTGTTATTCTCTAATATCTTTTTCTTCTCAATTTAAATCCTGATGCCATAGCACCACATCTGTAATTTCAAGAATTTCAGCCTTCTCTATTCTTCTTTCCAGTGAAGTTCTTTGCTATTCTCCCTCTACGTTTATAAATGATTTTTTATCCATAAAAATTCAATCTCTACCTGCAAGCTTGTTAACAATCGTTTATGAATCTTAATGAGCATCCGCCTTTGGTGGGTATGGTGGTGGTTGTGGAAATGAAGAAGATGGTGTAGGATGGTGGTGTCACGGTGGTGAAGAAGACTAAGGAGAGAGGAAGATGATGGAAAAAGTTTTTTTGTTTTCTTTTCTTTTGTTCTCCACATACCACTTCTTGATTCGTCTTTTTTTGCCACATCACAGCGTCTGAAAGTCATGCACTCTGTTTTTGTGGAAGATTGTATGTGAGGTGTCTAATACACACACACTGGCTGAAGTTTTAAGTGTTCAATTGGTACAACCCTTCAAATAAGGAAAAGGTCAATTCAATTCTCGATGGAAACAGAATTTTGCGAAGAAAGACTGTTGGCAGCAGGTAGAGAGATTTTGTTTTCCTCTTCAAAACACAAGGAAATGCGGGCAGGGATTGAGTACAAAACTTATCTTCAAGCATTATCTTATTCTGATGGTTCAGAGGGCGATCGTGGGGTCGCTGAATGAAGTCCTCCGTTTCTTTCAGAGGTGCTGACCGCAGCGAGGCAGAGATAAGGTGTCTAAATGAAAAAATTGGGCAAGTTTAAGGGGCTGCATATGTATTCCGCCTTTAAACAAGTAATTGTGCAAAATATTAGGCCCAAACTAAGACGTTTATAGTGGGATATGACAAACTGAAATTATCTTATGTTGCTCGGATTCTCCGAAAATGTCTACGGGTGCGTTTTGGATCCTCCAAAAGTAGTGTATTTTTGGAGGATCCGACACGGGTGCGGCAACATTTTTTAGAGTCCGCGCAACAGAGAAATTATCTAAGAAGGTTGAAGAATTATATGACATCTTCGTTTTCAAGTGTCGGTAAGATTTAGAGAGAAGGTCACTGTGAGAGACAAATCATTAGTAAAGCATACTTTCGGATTCGGTAAGCGTTTTTTCTGTTTCCAGTTCCTAACTCTTTTTGCAATATGTACAGGTAAATACAGTTTTCCAATTGGCTCTTGTTGCTGCAGCTCTCCTTCAACCAGATCTTGGTAACGAGGAAACTCAAACATATATCACTTACCTCAGGTGAGTTACGACTGTATATCTTCGTTTCATTTCTTCATAAACATGTTGTACTCAATTTCATCTAATACTTCTGATTGGTGCAGCTGGTTAGTAGCATTGACAACGGTAGCTTCAACCGCGGCCTATGGAGCACAACACCTTAGGAATGGAGCTGCATTGAAGAACAGTCTCTAACCAGATTCTGAGTACTTGCACACCATTTTTATCTACTTGGATTTTGGTTTCTTGCTGACAACCAGTATCTTTTCTTTCATTTTCTTTTTTCCCCATGAAATGTCAAAGTAATGTCCTGTTATATCTTAAAATCCTGACAGGAAGGAATGTTATAGTGTCTGTTGTACACTTAGATCCTCACTTAGGTCTTAGGGGACAGTTCTATCAGGAAATAATAAGTTTTCTCTATCGTTCTAACTTTTACGTCTCTGTTAGCGTGACCCTTACACCATTCTTGTGATATTTCCGACGAATCCAATACTACGCATAGTGTTTGAACAGCAGGTTCTTGGTTGTCTTGCTATGTATGACCCTTGGTATGCACCAAAAGGTAGATATCTTACTAATTATTCAGTTGTAAATCCTAGAGAGAATTTATGAAATGTCGTTATTCAGCAGTATATTTAAATGTTACAAACTCATTACCCAAAAGAGCGATATCATCTTTGAAGGGTTCGCCTGATTTCTGCAGATTTTAGAGCTCACAGTCTGCTGGTTGTACTCTATTTAACAAAGCTGACACATGCAAGTCAATACAACATTTGATACGGGTGTTCATGGTTAGGTTGAAGTCATTTTTTCTTTAAAAAGAAATCAAATATATTCAATTCATTTTCTAAATATTGGAACCATTTCAAAAAATATACATGTGACGTACATTGTCAAGCACATATCTTAAAACAGAGGCAAAGCTAGGATTTTAAGTGTATGATTCTAAATTACAAATACAGGGTTTCGGAAAAAGTCATTGGATTTTCTTCTACTGTACCTCTACTAAAGTTTTCTTCTTAATAAGGGTATAAGTCTAGCAAATATGACTCTATTACAACAAACAAGCAAATCAAGAGTAAGAGATGATGCATTTAAACAAGACCCAAATGCCAAAAATGAATATGTTGTGCAATGTTTACTCCTTTGAACAAATGTCAAATAAATCGGGAAATGGGAGTACCTGGTAAGCTTCAAAATCATCAAAATTGAATCTTGATCGAGCAACAGTAAATTCAACATGATCAAGAATATCTTTTTGTAAACTAAATGCATCATTCTTCAAGAACCCATCCATTAACCCAAAGTCGGAACATCTTCTCTGCTTTCGCTTTCTTTTCTCCTAAGTTCAACTCAGCTTTCCTCACAACCACTCCTCTCCCACCATGGCTATAAAAGGGGGATTTTGGGAGCTGATTTTCGCTGATTTTTGTGGGAGTTTAATGGAGTTTTGAGCTGAAGTTTGGTGTGCTTTGGAGCTTGAGTGCCAGCTTTCATGGAGAAAAGCTATTAGTTTTCGGTTGAGTAAGAAGGCTCTGGTGGAAAATATTATTTTGTTGATGGAGAAGGAGTTGTTGCGCCTCTTTTCATCTAGCGTTTTTTAATCTCTTGGCCGAACCCCAACTTTTTTGATTTGGAAGTTGAGAAGATTAGAAGAAACAACCACGACATCGTTTAATTTGTGCCATTTGTGCATTCTTAAAAATAAAAACCGTAAAAAACAAGAAAATAGCTAACTATTTTCAGCGTGATTCGAACCCGCGTGTTCTCCAAGCAAACCCAGAACTCTTGCCATTGAACCCAAACCCCTTTTGTTACTGGGTTCGACAATATATATTTATATATAAATAGTAAAGTTTTCAATACAAATACAGCATCTCGGAGAAAGTCACTAGGTTCGCCCGAACCCGCACCCTCTACCGTAGCTCCACCCGTCTTAAAATACCCTTGGATAAACAGCGAACTTGAAAAAAAAAAGCGTGAGAAATATATAAATTGTTAATAGAAGTGTAATACAGTCCCTACTCGAGGTCACACACATCCAAGGAGAAAAAAATTACCAGCTAATAGAGATCAGGCATTGTTGAACTATAACGAGCAATGGTACTAAAACACATTTTTAAGGTATATATATACAACAATACAACAATCCCAATCGTTTGTTCAACATATGTAGAAGGTTTCATGTTAAAACAGGATCTCTGATATACACTAACTGGATTGTTATGATAATCAGCACATACGGCTGCTTTGCTAGAGCTATTTGTTTCAGATTCGCCTTAGAATTTTCAATTCATTAAGATTACTTATCGTTTCAGAATAGAACAAGGTGAACGTAAAAATCAACATTTTTCACAGTATCATCAGCATATGTTAGCATCAAACAAAAATCGAAGCACAAGGCACGAACCAAAACCAAACAAAAGAAGGTTCCAGTTGCAACAACTCCAGTTATGCGCACAATTTTTAATTTAAATTTTCAACCAAGCAGTTCGCACTATATCATTAATCATACAAACGGCACTGAGGAAAAGGCAAAGTCATGTATAGAGGAAACACAGAAGTGCTCTTTCCGCAGAACATAATTCCAAGAGAGCACTATCGTCAATGTTGTGGGATAAAAGCTGTGGCACAGCACTGCTGTTCTTCTATCTAACACAGAGAGCAGGCATTAGTTAAAAAAAACAAAAGCTGAGGTGAACCATAGACAATTGTCAAAACTAATGCAGCATTGAGTAGTTTATGTGCTCAGCTTTAATAGAGAAAATTCAGCGGTCAAAGCAGCTTCCCTCTCGCACTCACTGAGGCAGACAGAAAAAGCTAAAGACCTCATCACTGCTATAAGTATTCACATTTCGGAAAATATTTGGTAGCCCTAACTATCCATGTAAATGCAGGTAAACATGTTCTAAAGCTTAATGTGTTGTCAAGGACTCAAGGGTATTTATAACATGACATTCCCAAAGACATGCATCTTGCAATGTTAACCACTTTAGCTATAGAAGAACCTGGTATAGTAGAGGAATATTCATTACATTCATTGCCTAAAAACACATGTGAATAATTTCCAGTCAATTTTAATATCTTGATAACAGTCTGTTTGTCAAAAAGTTTGGCCAAATGACATGTAACTTGGGACGAAGCAAAGCATATATGAATAAAGAAATTTCACACAGAAATCAGACATCGACAACCAAAAGGGAAGGGGGAAAATATGAGTAACTGAGGGGCTATTAGCAGATAAATGAGCCCATTCAATCACTTCTACCAGACTAAAGTTCAAGCTGAAAATGTTAAGTTCCTATCTATAATGTTTTTCTCTCAGAACCGTAGCATGGCAATATTTTCCACCATAATACAGTACGCCATGTGCAGTACTAGCATAAACTTCTACTTGCTGAAATTAACATCAACACCCACATAAGGGAGACATAAAGAAAGAAGCTTTATATAAAGACAATGCTTAAATTCAATTCCTTGGGTCAAATCTTCACATTCTTTAGAAACTTAGAACGATACCAAAGCTTCAGCTTAAATACCCTTGGACAAACCATGAAAACAAAGTGTGTGAAAAATATATAAAATGTTCATAGAAGTGTAATGGATAGCAAAGATCATACTATTTTAGGCTGTCAAGGGTAGGTAAACAAGATCCACGTAAATGCATCTCCGAAAGATGCATTAAATACGTGCAATTATAATTATGTAGGTATCTGGAATGTCCCTTGATAAAACACAAGAAATTCTTAGCATAAATTATGCAAAATCAGTTCTGCCCATATCAAAAGGAGAGTGATTCATTTGAATGAGCAAAATCATAACGGTTTCCGAAGACATTTTACTAAGATACATAACCAAATTTCTAGGAAATTTTTGAATTTTAAATTTATTAAGACCATGGCACACTGCAGACAAGAAAAACTGTAGTATACCATGTTTAGTACCTCTCTCCCTACTTTGGCAATGCCTCTTCAATCTCGTTCCATTTCTCAACGTTCTTCGAAAACTTCTCCTTCACTTGACCTATGATTTCCCGTGCATCATCAACCTTCGAAATGCTAGCCAATCCCTCAACGAGTGACTTCATTGTGGAGAAATTCGGGACCCATCCCTCGGCCAAACAACTTCTACAAATCTTCAGCGCAGCCTCAAAATCCTTACCTTGACACAAATAATAAACTAACGTAAAATAGCATTCAGCATCCGGTCTCAATCCGCTAGTATTAACCATCTTCTGAAACAAACTCTTCGCTTCTTCTAAATTACCTTCCCTACAAAACCCGAGTATCAAATGATCATAAGTCACATGATTCACCTTCAAACCTCTCGATAAAATCCCATCGAATAACGCCTTAGCTTCCCCCGACTTCTTAAGCTTACACAAGCTCTGAATCCTTAAATTATACGTACTAATTCCCGGCGCTATACCATATTCTTTCATCATTTCCAATATTTTTCCAACATCCTCATACTTCTCCTCCTTATAAAACCCGGTTATACAGTTCCCAAACGTCGTTGTGTTAGGCTTAACATTCTTCCTACTCATTTCATCCAAAATCGAATAAACAGAACTCGAAGAACCCGATTCACAAAATCCTTTAATCACCAAGTTATACGTATCTAAATCCGCAATAAACCCATACTTTTTAGGATATTCCACAAATATCCTTTTCATTTCAGCATAATCCTTAACTAAAACACAAGCAAAAAGCAAAGAATTCAGAGTTTTCTCAGTTCTTTGAATACCCATTTTCTCCTCCATTTCATCAAAAGCTCTTTTCGCCTCGTCGATCAGCCCCGCCTGCCCGTAAAGAACAATAAAATGGGAAATGAACCGCTCGGATTTCAAGTCGGGCCGGGTCGTGGATTCTTGGAGAAATGAGCGGATACCTGAGAAGTGATTGAGATCTTTGAGCTTTGAAATGGCTTTGGAATAAGCAACGCGATCGAGGTGGGATTCGGGGGTTAAGGAAGCGGCACGGCAGATTTCGAGGATGCGTTGTGGGTTTGTTTCGGATTTGAGGAGGGATAGGGCGGCGCGTGATTTGTCCTTGGCGGAGAGTGGGGTTTTGGAATCAGGGTTTAGGATGGAGTAGCGGCGGCGGTGGTGGTGGTGGTGGGTGGTGATGAGTCGGAGCTTGCTGCGAAGTGCTGCCATGGCATTAATTTAGGGTTTCTGAATTTGGGGGTTTAGGTAAAGGGCTGCTTTAAACTGGAAACACGAGAGCCATAGCTCGTTGTGGGAACTTACAGAAAAGGACTACTGAGTGATGGGAAAGTGCATAGATAGCCACTTTGAGGACTCCTATTTAAGGCATGGCCAAATTTATATATTAGCAGTTTCCTAATCCTCACATAATAATGTTCAAGAAAATCATAAGGACTTGAATCGTTTCCGCAGGGCTATTCAAAACCGAACCGACACCGTTAATCGAAAGCGAGGTAATGGATGATAAACATGTTGAGATTTTATAATTAACGACTTAACATTTTGAGGGCGAATTACTTATTTTTT